AAGAACCACCTACGGTGCTCATTACAAGCGCAAATCCAACAAGCCCAAGGTAAAATTTAGAGATTTGTGCTCCTAAACAAGCACCGTAGTGGATGATCCCAGTGCAGATAATCCAAGCCCTAGCAATGATGATGCGGTGCTGTTGCGCCGCCCTGGGCCCCTGGGCTGGGGAGAGGCCTTGGGCCTCCTGCGACCCTGCGCTACAACACCTGCTCTGTAGGGAGTGCTCCCTAAGAGAGGAGTTAGTAGGGGGATGGTGTCGGTATAACGCAGATGCTACACTGCTTCATTCTTGATTTCTCCTAGGCCCAGGAGCCCTGGCATAAAGTAGAGAATCTTGAGCAGGAAAGGGTAAGAGACTGCAACCCAACTTTTGCATTGGCAGCAGAGACTCTCTGGGTATATTCGAATAAAGTTAAAAATGAGGCCTGTCCTGGCACTCTTCTCTCCTGAGACGTGCGCTCCAGGCCTGTGTCTGAGCTCAGGAGGCACTCCCCACCCGCACCCCCAGGCCCAGCTCCCCAGCAGTCACTCACAGACACTCACTTCTGTCCCTGAAGCTGGGGCACCCTCAGACTTGTCGTACTAGAGGGCTACCAGCCTTTCCACTCAGTTAGCTTGTGTATTTTTTTTTTAAGATTTTATTTATTCATGAGCGACACAGAGAGGCAGAGACATAGGCAGAGGGAGAACCAGGCTCCCCGCGGGGAGCCCAACCCAGAACTGGATCCCAGGGCCCCGGAATCACGACCTGAGCCAAAGGCAGATGCTCAACCACTGAGCCCCCCAGGTGCCCCTCTTGTGTATTTTTAATATCTGCCCCAGCAACCACCGGCCAACCCGATCTGCCTCCCTGGACGGTCCAAGTGAAGGAACTTCCTGTGCACATGTTTTTGCTTTTGTCATTGGTTTTCAAATGACCTGTTTCTGAAGTGACCGGCAGGGAATGCTATGTTCCCCAGAGGCCCTGATAATTTAAAGTGTGTGATTTTTGCAGAATAAGAGATGTTTCAGGAATGTGGACATTGCACAAGAGCAGCAGCATCTTATGTGCGGAGAATTCTCATTGTGTGTTTGAAAAGGAGTGAATAAACATGGGGCTTTGTTACTCAGCTAAGACTGGAAGGAAATCAGGGGCAGGGGGCTCAAGAATCCCTCAAAGAATGCTTTCATGAAGCCTATGACCTTCAGCTCCCTGCAGCCCTGCTCTGTGGGTCTTCAACCTCGAACCTCCAGGGGGACCCTTCCAAGCGGACCCTTCCAAGCGGACCCTTCCAAGCGGACCCTTCCAAGCGGACCCTTCCATTCCACTAAGGCAACCGGTGTACAAGCCTGACTTCAGGACTTCCAGGGGTGGGGCTTAGGCATCTCTACATGTAGAAAATACAGGGATGGTTCTAAAGCACAGCTAGGATTCTCAGATTTGTAGATACAGAGAACCACCCAGGAGCTTTTAAAACCCCCAATGCCCAAGCCACACCCAGACCAAATTACCTTAGAATCTCTGGGGGCTGAACTCAGGAATCAGACTGTTTTAAGGTCCCAGCCAACCAGCCAAGCCGCTGCTTTAGGGCCTTTTTTTAATCTGAGAAAGATCTCCTCTCTGTAGACCAGAGCTTCTGGAACTTCAGTGTGTATACGAATCACCTAGGAATCAGGTTAACATGCAGATCCTGATGTAGCAAGGCTGGGGCAGGGTTTGAGATTCTGTTCTGCAAGCTGGTCTGCAGACCGCACTGTTAGTAGCAGAGCTGGGGCTTCGAATGACTTTCCATTGATTATTTAACAATCACTGAGTACAATTACTGCGGCGAGCCAGGGCACCCGCTAATCCTGCAGGTGCAGGGCAGTAATGGCATTTGGCAGAAGCAGCACAGCAGGCTTTGTGATTAAAAACAAAACAAATGTTTGTGTTTCTTGCTGGGTCAGCCGTGGGATGGTGTTGACAAGAGGCCTGACTGCTGCGTGCTAAGAGATGAGCGATTATAAACTTCAGCCCTTCCTCTCATCAGTAGAGAGCTGGCTTATCAGCCTTCTGGAGTCTGTTTTAACAGTTGCTCATTTGGGGAATATGAATAATAGTGAAGGGGAATATAAGGGAAGGGAGAAGAAATGTGTGGGAGATATCAGAAAGGGACACAGAACATAAAGACTTCTAACTCTGGGAAATGAACTAGGGGTGGTGGAAGGGGAGGAGGGCGGGGGGTGGGGGTGAATGGGTGACGGGCACGGAGGGGGACACTTGACGGGATGAGCACTGGGTGTTATTCTGTATGTTGGTAAATTGAACACCAATAAAAATTAATTTATAAAAAAAAAAAAAACAAAAACAGTTGCTATTGGGCAGTGGAAGGAGGTGTGGGGGTGGGGGGTGGAGGTGTTTGCATTTTATTATGCAGATGAATTCAAATCTCAGGTTGCTCTGTCCCAGAGATGAAAACTACATTATAAAGAGGCTTAGATTATCTGCTTGGTGTTTTCCTATGCTAAAAAAAATATATTTATTGGAGACCTACTGTGTGTCCTGCCTGTCACTGGATGGCCATGCACATCTCAAGCTGCCACATACTGTGTTATGGTATCGCCTGCCTAGCTACGAGGCTGAACTCCAATTAGCATGAAGTGTCACACTGCATTTATCACATGAGCCTACACAGGTGATAAATTTTGGTAGACACACAAGAAGTAAAACTGGGAAAATTTGAATGAGATGGCTAGATGGTATCAATGTCAATATTTTGGTTGTGATATTATGCTAAAGTTTTTCAAAATGTTACCGTCAGGGGAACCTGGCAAAGTGGGAAGGGGGCAAAGTGTATAAGGATATCTCCATGTGGTTTCTTAGAACTGTGTGTGCATGTACAAGTGTCTCCGTGAAAATTTCAATTTAGAAAGGTATAAAACCACTCACAGCCAGCCCTCAAATATGTCTTTAATATGGGGGGGGGAGGACATATGTATTAAGAAGGTAAATAATAGGGGGGCCTGGTTGTCTCAGGCAGTAGAGCATATGACTTTTGATGTCGGGGTTGTGAGTTTGAGCTCCATGTTGGGTGTAGAGAGTTTTTAAAAATAAAATCTTTTTTGAAAAGGTAAATATTAAAATAAAAATGATAATACTTATTACATGCTAACTATATCATAGGTACTGTGATAAGCATTTTACATGCAAGGCTTTAATTCTCACAACACCCTATCAGTCATTATTCTTATTTCTGTTTTCTGTTTTTATTTATTTATTTATTTATTTATTTATTTTTATGAAATTTTATTTATTTATTCATGAGACACACACAGAGAGAGGCAGAGATACAGGCAGAGGGAGAAGCAGGCTCCACGCAGGGAGCCTGACATGGGACTCGATCCCGTGTCTCCAGGATCACGCCCTGAAGGCAGCGCTAAACTGCTGAGCCACCCAGGCTGCCCTGGTTTCTGTTTTAGATGAAGAAAGTGGACCCGGGAGAGCATAGGTGGTTTTTCCCAGGGTCACAGAGTCAGCAGGCAGTCAGGCAAGACTCAAACTCAGGCCCAGAGCTCACTATACCACACAGAGTATGCGAATAAGAATGCTATGTTTTGGGATCCCTGGGTGGCTCAGGGGTTGAGCATCTGCCTTCGGCTCAGGGTGTAATCCTGGGGTCCTGGGATGGAGTCCCCCACTGGGCTTCCTGCATAGAGCCTGCTTCTCCCTCTGCCTGTGTCTCTGCCTCTCTCTCCCTTTCTCTCTCATGAATAAAATAAATTAAAAGTGTTTTTAAAAAGCTGTGTTTCTCTGGAAAGAGAAATCATAGTGAAGGGTGAGGACTGTGCTTCAGGAGTGGGGTGCAAATGGAAGTACCTTGCAGGATCTTGGCCTTGAAAGAAGAAAGGAGTTGAGCTGGCAATATGCCAAGCGAGGGCATTCCAAGGCAAGAAGACAGAAGAAACACCACACGTCTGAAAGAATGCTCCATTTTCCAGGTGAAGAAAACAGTGAGTTTGTCTGCTTTGCCACTCAGAGGTAGATGGAGGCAGTATGGCAGAGGGTCTTCAATGCGAGGGGCATGTGGTAAGGTCTCCCTGGGTCTGGCCAGTGATCTGGACAAGCTAACAAGGCACTGATCAGACCAAGTTATATGTGAATCACCAGCATTCACAGGGAAGCCGCGTGCAAGGTGTTTACAGTTTAGTATGCAGTAATCCATTCCCAGGACCCAAAGAGCAATGGGAAGCAATTTGGTAGTGGAAAATTGGTAGGTGAAGGGAACCAGAGTGTCTACTTATAATACCAAAGGCCATAAAGTGGTTGAAACCATTGGTCATTATGGAATTAATGGAATTAAATCTCATCTCGTATGGCCACTTACTCTTCCGACTACTGAGTGCCTACTACGTGGCCAGCCCGATTCCAAGGACTTGGGACATAGCAGTGAGCAAAATACAGTGACCCAACTCCCTGCCACCAAGGAGCTCACCTTCTGTGCTTAGTGCTGATTCCTGATCAAGAGGATACTTAACTCTCAGAACCGAAGATTACACTTTCATACTGTACACTTGAGATCCCACGAGCCCAAAGAGAAATGCAAATCTCCCTGGGGTGAAGCTGGGCAGCGATGCAGAAGGACAGACACAGCACTTCTGATTTAAGAGTGAGGATGATCTTACCCCAGTGTGGCTACAAGGAAACTTAAGATGGGCGGGTCGTCAGGCCATGCCTCTGAGTTGGACCATAAAAGAAGAGCAAAACCAAGGTGAAGGATTGGGATTGGCAGTGTGACCCTTGAAGATGATTCAAGTTAGCCTGGGGTACCCTCTCAGTGTTTCCACTCCCAAACTGGGATTAACTTTGGAATCTTCCATAAACGTAGAGAAATTGGGGGCTTTCCAGTCCCAGCCTGGGTAAGTACTATTTCAACACAAATCAGAACAAGATGGCCTTGCAACATAAAAGCAGGAGAGGAAGACCGGAAGTAAGTACACCTGGAGACCTATGTTTAGGCAGGAGATACTCTACAATCTAGTCTTATTTTTAAAATGCAGAATTAGAGGTATGGACCCTTCCTCGGAATGCTAAAAGCAATATACAGATGAAGACAAACGACTAAAAGATAAGCTGGTGGTCACTGTTTCTACAAAAAGACACCTAAAGGTAAGTGTATCAGGCAAGAGTCAAGAGTGGGCAGATTTATTAATATTACCCCAACCGAGGATTTGTTACCATTTCATATCTTAAGTTCCCACAAGCCTCGGTTGCCTGAGAATAAATATTTAAAATATCTTTTCGACTTAGTTATAGAAAGATTCACCAATTTTTTTCTTCAGAAGTATTTAAGAAAAAAAAGTCTGATTTAGTTCCCAGGGACCTTCTCATGCTTTTGTATCACGTTTCCAATGATATTTAGCCCTTTGCTGTAGATTTGGCCATATTGTGTATGCGTGCAAGAAACACAGGCATCTCCTACAGTTAGTAACTTTTTGCGTGGGTAAAAGCATCTGCACTCACTATGCCACTGGCCCTGTGGCAAAATTTTCCCACTTTAGTTAAGGGAAGACAAATGACACAGATACAGAGGCTGCACAGGACCGTCCTCCATAGACAACTTCCATTCATGTTTCTGGGTGCCCTTGAATGAGAGGCTGGCTCTGCCACGGAGCACAGCAAAGGGAGAAACAGTCCTACTACCTGCAGAATGCAAGCTTTCTAAAAAGTCACCTCTGTGGGTCAGAGGTGATTGCTTTAGTTATGCCACAAAGCACAAAACACACCTTGGACCTCCAGCCGATGGCTGGGGAGGGGAGTGAGAGTCGCACAAGAACTGGGCTGGAGACAAGAATCTGCATGAGGCAGCTGCCTGTGGTCCTGGAGATGGCCTGTTTTATTTTTTTATTTTTTATTTTTTGATGGCCCTTTTTATTTAGCTGCACTGAGCCTGCTGTCCCCAGGACTTCAGATCTCAGAATTCAGTTTAGGGTGTAAGCTGAGGAGGACTAAGGAGGCTCCTTCCTTTAGCTCCTCTCATTGTTGGCAGCTGAGGAAGCTAGAAAGCGCTTCCCCCAGTGGCAGGTCTGAAACTATCATTGTCACTAGTCTCCTGTCCTCCACGTACTCCTCCCCGGCCACTTGACCCCCTCACCCCCCACCCCTGGAACCTTTGATAATGAGGATAATTTGCCCAGTGAAATGCTCAACGTGGAGAAGCAACTGTAAAAAGGTTCTTAGCTGATCCAGGAAGAGCATTATATGAAAACAAAGGGAAATGCTATGTTTATGGATGTGAAAAAATGAACACTGCAACCTAATTTCATATTAGTATTGGGCTAAACCACCTCCATAAACTTATCCTGGGCACCCATCTGTGGTCACTGGCATGTGATCACCCCTGTGGTAGGTGTTAAACAACCAAATAGGATAAAGCAGGCTCTCCTGCAAAAAGTAAAGTACAAATGTGACTTTTATGTGGTGAGTTTGGCCAGCAGAGCAGACAATTTGCTCAGGAAAAAGCTACCTCAGATCTGGAGATTTTTAGATTGGCTTCTTTAGGACTGGGTCATTAGAAACCAATGTAGTACGTGTTTACTTTTTCACAGAGAGAGTGCAGTAACTGTGAGTGCATTTGGGAATATTCCGTCATCTTTGGAATATGTCTAATCTCTAGGTTCCTACTATGAAGATGAGGGGAGGGAGAACACAGATCTAGTAAAAATAATTGAAAAACCTTTTCTTAGGTAGTTATTTGCAAAAATAAAATCTTGGCCACACAGCACAACATCAATGCAAAGCCCACTGGGGAGCCTTTAAGACATTCACACATCAAACACAGTATCTTTGGTGCATTAATTATTCCTGTTAATCTCTTTCAAATATACCCCCCAATAGGTAATAGGGTGAAACAAATTTATTCCCCGGCGGTAACTTCTTAGCCTCTTCTATACTTTGTGATCTAAGAAAAACAAAAACAAGCATTCGTTGAAAAATCTACTTTGATTTGTTGGGCGAAGGAAACCGACTCTGTCTACTTCCTCCAACACCACTGAGTGGGTTCTACAAATCTTTGAGATGCACCGAAATCTTTCATTTTACGATGAATTCTGACTAAAACCAGCGCTTACCATTTTCAAAGAGCTCCCGAGAAATTGCCAAAAGAGACTTTTCTTTTTCTTTTAAGGTCTTCACCCAAAACATTTGCTTGAGAACCCTTCTGAATAGAGACATTGCCTAGTAAAACACATGCGGTAGACAAAATATCAAATTTCTTTGTCCAGCTGTCCAGAATCCCATTAGTGCCTCTTACTTCTATCTGTCTTTTGCTATAATTAGGATGGCTTAGGGTTTATCTGGGCCTTTTTTCAAAACCAGATTTCCTTCCCAGCAGCAGCAGCTGTCATTCACAAGTACCCTAATGGTCCTGGGAGACTTCTTTTGATTTACACTGTGGTAGAGTGATCATGAATATGAAGGGAAGGGACACACACACACACACACACACACACACACACACACACAAATACCTTTCATCTAGCAATTTTTAAAGAGAGGAGTCTTACCTGAGGGAGAGCACTCCAGCCTGGAACTCCGCTTATTTCAAACAGCCTATGGACCGGCACTCCTTCCCCCTGGAAGTCTGAGTTCGCTCCTTGGGGGCCTGAGCCCAGTGGAGTTTGCAGGGTTTTTGCTCCTTGGTCTGCTGGCGCTGGAACAGCACCTTCTCCTGCAGGGAACTGGGAATTCCAATCAGCAGCTTCTGCTTTGGCACGAAGACTGTCTCTTTTATCACACTGGGTTAGTGGGTGCTTAACAGGTTCTTTGGGATAGAGGAGATTAAGGGTGCCTTCTGTTGCACTGTCTTTCAGGTTGGGGCTCAGCTTTTTGGGTTTTCCTCTCACGCCTGGCCGCCTCACCCTGGGGGGTTTCTCGGAGCCCGTCTTGGTCAGCGACACCCCATCCCCTACCTTTTTCTCCGCTGCGATCTCCAACCACTGGCTCACCCCTGGCTTCTCTAACTCACCAGACAAGCGCTTCATCGCCGTCTCTATCACTGCTTTATCCATGTTTAGCAGATTGTCACTGGGGAATTCCTCTCCTGCTTGGTGGCTGTCTCTGGTTTCTCCTCGAATTCCTGGATAATCATTTTCAGCGGCCCCAGAAGCAGTGGGTGGTTTATGTCTCCCCTGGTCTGTCACCGTAGATGTCGTGTCTCGGTGAGGCCCCCAAGTCAGAATCATCCCCGTTTGCAGGGATGAGGGACTGTGGGTGGAGGCTTGGCTGCTCCTCACCCCCACTTCTTGGGGTTGTGAGTGATAACCACAGAAGCCAGTGGTGGCATCCATAGGCCCCGTGTCATCCGACACCCAAGGCCCACAACCCATTTCACTGAGGAGATGCTCACACCCACCCAGGCAACACGCACCGAATTCCATCTCTTCGTCATCGCTTTCTAATAAAAAAACATGCTCAGAGCCCTGCAGGTTCCTTTGCCAGACTGCATTAGAGTAATCCGTCATAATGTCGGAACATTCCAGATACTCTAGGTCATCATCTGAAAACTCCTCCGTGCAGGTTAAGGTTATCTCTGGGCAAAGTTCATAGTCACTGTCAGAGTCTTCGCTGGACACCTGTGGACTGCCTTGCTGGTTGATCGTGTCCCTGTCACCTGGGCAAGCAGATGCGGCCGCCTCTGACAGTGGCAGGCTGAAGCTGATGTACTTCTGCGCTTTAGGATCCGGATGACCAGAGTCTGAGACTTCCTCCTTAAGGCCATCACTGCCCGAGGCACCATCCCTTAGCCTCGATACTTCGGAATGTGCTGTCCTGGGGTAACACACATTTTGTTTAGTGGGGATTGTACTTGAATCAGAAAAAAGCAACCCAACTGCAACTTCCTCTGTGTCATCCGGACCAGGCGCCTCTTCCACTGGCCTCGTTCCCGTAACATCCAAGGGATTTTCAGACCTGGATGCACTAGTGTCACTGTTGGCCAATAACTGGAGGGAGCACGAGGGGCTGAATTTGGAGGAGGGGGAGTCAGCTGACACGGGACTACCTGCCGAGACACACTCTTCGCCCTCACAAGGAGGTTCTTTCTCCCCCAGCTGATTTGTCTTGCCCTGCGCACACGCCTCTGTTGCAGGTGGCCAACCTGGGCCCCTGCCATCTTTCAGGTTAGGAGAGAGCTGCGGGCTCTCTGCTGAGCACCTGACTTCAACAGAAGCAGAGCAGCAAATCATTCCAGAACAGTTTTTAGCAGAGATCTGATACACGGCAGCGTCATCAGGGGTACAGCTAGGATGAAGAGAACACACAGGTAAGTTTGCCATGTTTTGGATGATGGACGTGCCAACATTTGTCACGTCATGGCACACAGAAAACGACCATGGTTTTAGCTGCACCCTCCAGGAGATCTTCTGTGGTCTCCCTGGAAGGGGGTTTGTGGTCAGAGGCAACCAGCCTAGGGGCTCCAGCTGCCCTCGAGCTGAGAATCCAGGAAGCTCAGCATTTTCCCTTAAAACTTTCCACCATCTTACCCCAACTTGAAAAATGCTTGAGAATTATTCAGATGAATGGGGAGACACCTTATAATCTGGTTTCTTCGTCTCTCCTTTTAAGTCCTTTTTATGCTATGGGAATTTGAGAAAAACACTATTTTCTGGAGTGAGACATTGTACACGAAGGACTGAAGAATCCTACTTCATGCAGTGGGAGCAGCATGAGCAATAACTCTGTGGAAGCCCATGCTAGGAAGGCCTGGCTCTTGCCAGGAAGGTGTCAAGGTATCACTCCGGGATTATGTGTATGGAGGATAGTGCCATTTCTCTTAATTTTGCATGACTCTGAAGTCTAAACCTCACCCCGTGTGCCCCTCTAGTTGGAAACCCAGGTCCACATGCCATCCTGACTTACACAGACGGAGCCAGGTGCTCGGCTTTGGCCCAGCAGGGAAGAAACTGAATCCTGGATCATGCTGAGCCTGCTCTCCCTCCACCAGGAGAGACAGTGCTCCCGTGGCTCCTCCCTTTATTGACTGGAGCTCCGGGTAGCCTCCAGCCTGACCGGCTTCGCTGACCTTTCCCACTAGGGCCTGTCTCCAGGCTCTGCAATCCCAGTAAAAACCCATTACACTTGATTTATAATTTGCACTCATTTATCTCATTTGACCTCAGTGTAGCTATAACATTGCTGGTCTCCCTCAATGCATTATCCAGCTCTTAAGTCAAAAAGCACTTTTCAGAAGGCAGCGGCTGTGGGTCTGGCCAGAATTAGAGGTGATGTTTAGATATTTATTGACTGATCTGAACAAAATGTGCACAAATACCTGATCTGGAAGGATCAGTGTCAGGCCCTCAGTGGCACACAGTCTTTCTTGTTCTCTCTCTTCTCACTGAAAGCATCGCTCTGTCTCCCCAAGCTCACATGTGTTCGTAAGCCCTCAATAGTCAGATGCCTGCTCAGATACGCCTCATTTTCAAAAATAATAGACTAATTCCAATTTTGTTAATATCTTAGTTTTTTATAATCTGATTCGCAAGCAGGAGCCACCCAGGGGTGGCTGAGGCTGGCCACAGCCTATGTTCGACTTGCCTTGGCCAACAGCATGGGGAGACGAAATTTAGGGTCACTTTCTAGAGGAAACAGTGCCTGCCCCTCCTATCTGCTTCACAAAGTTATTCTGAAGTTCCAATGAGAAAAATCAATGTGAAGGGGCTTTGCAAAACAGAAACCTTATGCCACATAAGAATGTGGAAATGATAATTATGTGATATGATAGAGATATTAGCTAACACTACTGTGGCAATCAGACTGCAATATAAATGCATCAGATCAATATGTTGTACACCTTAAAACATACACAGTGTTGCATGTCAAATATAACTCAATTTTAAAGGGGGGGAAGAGGACACCTGGGTGGCTCAGCAGTTGAGCATCTGCCTTTGGCTCAGGGTGGGATCCTGGGGTCCTGGGATCGAATCCTGGATCGGGCTCCCTGCAGGGAGTCTGCTTCTCCCTCTGCCTGTGTTTCTGCCTCTCTCTCTATGTCTCTGATGAATAAATAAATACAATCTTAGACAAAAAAAAAAAGATATGAGAGTGCTAAGACCAGATTACCTCTGGTTTTCAAGAAGTGTGCAGAAGAAACTAAATCATCAAGAAACTAAAATTTTTGAATCAGAATCCACGGGTAAAAGGCCTGAGAATCTGCTTTTAAACGTCCCAAACAGGGGGGCCTGACTCTTGGTTTCGCTCCAGTTGTGATCTCAGGGTGGTGGGATGGAGCTGTGTGTCAGGCTCTATGCTCAGCGGGGGTCTGCTTCTCTCTCTCTCTCTCCCTCTACCCATCCCTCTTCCCTCCCCCAACCCCACTCACCCACTCTTGCAGGCTCTCTCTTAAATAAATAAATAAATCTTTTAAAAACACACACACACACACACACACATTCTGCTATAAGTTGTCTTTGACCTGCCCTTGGAGACATCCTCATCCTCATCCTCATTACTTACACGTAGGTCTCCTCAAATGAGCTGAATTAAAGCTGAATGAAGACAAAGAGGACTTTGTTTGAGCTTCACATGGCCCATGCCACTGCCTGCTTGCCTCTTTTCCATTAGTCCTTGGAGACCTGGCCTCAGTTAGGAACTTAGAAAGAGCATAAAACAATTCCATGGGCTACTGGGAAGCCCCAAATAATTGTGATTTCCTGATTTATCCAGACCAGATCCCTATGCCAGAGAAACCACCTGCCAAGACTAGTGTGGAAAGAACAGAAAGGAAGAGAGGAAAATAAGCTGGAGAAGCCAAGGGAACAGGTGAGAAATTAGCAAAGGCAGAGAACAGAAATAGTTCTCAAGAACCAAGGAGGGTAAAACCAAACAAATTTTAGAAAAATATGGAGAAAATAATGGGTTAAATAAGCAAATGGGAGAATGTTATGATTTAGTAATGTGTGATTTTATGGGGTATGTGTTTCAGGTGATAGAAGATTTACAAATCATCCTAAATCTACTAGAGAGAAAAAGCATAACTGACCTCTAAGAAGTAAATTAAGTATGATTCTTCTCACTAGCTAATGACCTTTTCAGAGACTTATGATTTGTGGTTGACATGTCCTTGATCATTATCTCTAAATATCTTAAAGAAGAGAGGGAGAAAATCTAGCCAGGAGTACTGTGTTTGTTGACCGTCCCCTCTAGTAAATAATGTGCTATGCTGTTCCCTGTGTCCAAGAGGAGACACAATGGGGTTGATTAATTTCCCTGAAGTGACAAAGCTGGTAAGTGGTGGTGCTAGGCTAGGAAACCAGAGCCTCCTTCTCTGAGGTCAAGCTCAGTGTGTCATGTAGAAAATTCACATTCAGAAAAAGGAAGCGACAAATGTAGAGAGATCATTTTTGCAAATAAAGTGTTTCTGTCCTAAGGCTTTATTTTCATTGGTCAACTGACACACTCATGAAGAGTTTGTTCTGGTGCCCAGTGTTAGGTTGAGTGCTGAGCGAGAGTCAAGGAGATGTGTGCCATGTCATGTCCAGCCCTAAAATGACTAACAGTCTACTGGGGGAAACAATCTGAATCTCTGCGAGAACCTTGTAGGTCTGCTCTGTGCTAAGTTGTTCCAGTGGAAACTGGAAGAACAAGAGAAGCTCAAAGAGGAGACTCCAGTGGTGGCAGCTGAAATGGTGTCAGTAGGCTTGGGCTTTCGAATATGCAAGACGCTGGCAGAGTGACCTGTGTGCCCCACAGTGATTTGACAGGAATGCAAAAGCATCCCGGAAGAAATTCCCTGAACAATTAATTGCGTTCCCTGCTTGCATATCTTTCCTTTTGGCTGAAGGAAGCAGCAGCATTCCTCTGCCTCGCTGTGAAAGTCTTGCTGGAATGCTCTACATTCTTTCTAAATTAATCATTTCCATATTAAAGAAAAAGACATACATGTGACCTTAAGTGGATGGGGCTTCTTCTAGGCTTGGACCCCCTGGGTTGGTCTAAATCAGAGGTTCTTAAATATTTTGGCAGCAGGACCCCCTTTATGCTCTCAAAAACAATTGAGGACTCCCAAGAACTTTGTTTATGGGGGTTACATCTTTCAATATTTACCATATTAAAATTAAAGCTGAGAAAAATTGAAAACGTTTGTTCATTTTAAAATAACAAAAATAAGCTCATTACATATTAGCATAAATAGCATATATTTATGCTAAAATACCCATATTTTCCCTAAACAAAGTAAAATTTCACAAGAGTAACATTGTTTTACCTTTTTTTTTAGATTTTATTTATGTATTCATGAGAGACATTCAAAGAGAAGCAGAGACATAGGCAGAGGGAGAAGCTCTTGATCCCAGGACTTGATCCTAGGACCTTGGGATCATGACCTGAGCCAAAGGCAGAGGCTTAGCCACTGAGCCACCCAAGTGCCCCTGCTTTACATTTTTTTCACACAGCTACTATCTGGCTTAATAAAAGACAGCTGGTCTTTTTTTTAACCTGCTTCTGTATTGTAATACGATAAGGCCTGGTTGAAGTATATTGAGAAAATCTGGCCTCACACAGATATGAAGTTGGAAAAGAAAGAGTATTTTAATAGTCTTTTCATATGATTATAGATCATCTTCTTTGATACTATACAAAGAGTGGTTGCAATGTGGAATCTGAACCCCTATCAACTAGTTACATAAAATCCATTGGCTTAGACTACATTTTACATGCATCTTTACCCATATATGATTTTGTAACATCATGTATTTGTTCATCTGGAGAAACTTGGTTCATGAGATCTTCTAAATAATACCTTTTTTAAATCACATGCATTAATATTCCTACTGTTGGTTCCAAAATAATTTGGAAGTATTGGGAAACTGTTAAGCTTCTGATGAAGGATACAAGTTTTTGAAATTTCTAGTTAGGGAAATAATACAAATATTAATTAATCATAACAACATAAGTCAATTCTGTGCTAAGTTGCTTGGTAGCAGTGGAAGGGTGAGGGACATCTGTAAAATGGCAGAATTAAAACTTCTGGAAATTTTCTCCTCCATAAAAGCAATGAGAACACTGACAAAATTTGCCAGGATCAACTTTTTCAGAATTCTGAAAATTAACCAAAGACAAATCTGAAGATTTATTCAAGAAAAATAACTGAATCGCAAGGAAAATAGCAAATTTTCTGGTGTTTAAACTTTCCCTAGTCCAATCCCTCATCCCCACCTCCATGTAAACCAAGTGTTCACAATCATGGCATAAGTCAGGGGTCTGGCAGCCACCAGAAGGGGCAGAACAGGGTTGGAGCAGCTCCAAAGCCCCATTCTCAGTGAATTGTTATCTGACCTCTCTGGTGGCTCCCTGAAAAATCATACTCACAAGACTGTCTTTATGTGTTCTGATTCAGAGTTCAACTAGAGTGAACAACCTTTTTCCTGAGACATTTGTCAGGTAAAAATTCAGAGGCAACTTTCACATCACAGCTGCCTGAGGCACTGGATCACTGGTGAGACAAACAACGGGCTAACCAAAAAGATTAAGAGGGAAAGATAGGGAATGAGATGCCCACAGGGGACATTGAAAAGCTCCAACATGTTTCTGGGAATCTAGTAGGCCATGCACATGTGTGTGGCTTTGAGCATGTCCAGGGCTGTATGCATGCTCAGGAAAGACTTAAGAAGACAGTAAGCACTCAACTCTAACTGACCTGAAGGCTCTGTGCTAGCAGGAAATGAAGGCTAAGACAGAGTTGTCTACTGCTTGGCTGAGTGTTGAAGGCATGTCCCAACATGTGCACAGAGCCCTTCAACAAAAGCTGAGAGACTTACTGGTTCCAGGCATCTAAGGAAATCTCTGTCTAGTCATTAGTCAACTACTAAGTTAACTGAGCAGAGATTTCAGTGACCACAAACAATAAGGAATACTGGTTTTAAAGAATTAGTTCAGAAAAGTCACTAAACAAACAACAACAAGCACTGTGAAAGGGAGAGAATCTGCTTTCCAGAGTCACCACATTATATGTTTAAAATGTCCAGTTTTGCAAAACAATTAGAGACATGCAAAGAAAGATTAAAGCATGGCCCATACATGGGGGTTGGGGGGCAAGGAAAGTAGTCAGTAGAAACCATCCCTGGAATTGCTAAAGATTTTAATTAGCTATTTTAAGTGTGTTCACAGAAGTAAAAGAAGCTATGTCTAAAGAACTAAAGGAAAATGTGAGAAGAGTGTCTTAATAAAGACACAGAGGCTATAAATAAGAACTATATAGAAATTTTGAAGTTAAAAAGTATAATAATTGACATGAAAAAATTTACTAGAGGGCTCAAGAGCAGAGGTGAGCAGACAAAGTTGATGAACTTGTAGATGATTGATTGCATCTATCTAGTCTTCAGAATAGAAAGAAAAAAGAATGGAGAAAACTGGACAGACTCTCAGAGACCTGTGTGTGTGGGATACCAGTGAGCTCACAACATATACATAAAGGGAGAATAAAAAAGCAGAAAGAATATCTGAAGAAAGTGGAAGTCCTTAGTTCAGAGAAGGGACTGCAATGATAACTTGAAAGCTTGGATTTTTTTAAATTGAGGTATAATTGACATATAGCATTGCATTAGTTTCAGGTATATGACATAATGATTCAATATTTGTATATGTTGTGAAAGGATCACTGCAATAGATCTAGTTAACATCACTCACTAATGTTGTAGTGAGTTACAAATTTCTTTTTCTTATAATGAGAACTTTTAAGATCTACTCCCTTAGCAACCTTCAAATACATGATACAACATTAGTAACTATGGTCACCATGCTGTACATTACATCCCAGACTTACTTATTTTATAACTGGAAGTTTGTACCTTTTTTAAAAGTTTGGATTTTTATCACTAGCAGCAGATACTATAAGTTTTCCTTGAAGTGGCAGACCTACTTTGTTTATTTTGAAGACAATGTTCACCAAATATCCAAGGTTGGATGATCATCGTTTGTCCATTGTTCTTTCAAGTAAAAAAATTGTACTTCATGAAAAAGTGGCTAGTTCAGCTTGTAACTTAAACAATAATACATATGCTATCTCTCAAGATGACTATCATCTCAAGGAAATCCACCAGAGATGCTCTGGGCATATTTCCCATTTCCTTACAGGGCAGTAAAAGTGCTTCATCAAGATTTAATGAAATTAGCAATTTTTACTGATGCATCAGAAACATTATCAAGTAAAATGTTTTGATTTTTAACTATGGCTGCATAACAGTGAAGAATTCTATGAAAACTGGTATAGTTTGGGACCACTGCCTAGATTCATGCTAAGCCACCAACAGTTTTACCATCCATTGCTTTTTATCATCACTACATATGTCAACACAGTGAAAAAGACAAATAATGTTTCAGTACTTCTGTGATAATAGTTTTGATTTTGCAGATCCTCCGAAAGGTCATTAGTGACCCTAGGGGTCCCTGGACCACACTTTGAAAACCACTAATTAAAGCTATTCACCAAGGGAAGCTTTAAAATGCTCTCAGAAATTCTCTCACAGCAAAACACCTGGCAGAGAAGTGCCCTTGCACTCTGGAAAATGGGCAACAGAATGGAGGGCTGACGCGTTGCTCAGTATAATCATTCAGGTGCTGTCTTAGGCAGATGACTTCATCTCTTTGGGCCTCAGTTTCCTGATTTACAAAGAGGAAGAAGACCTATGTCTGGGTCCCACCCCCTAGAGATTCTCATTTAATGCTCAGTACATGGGTCTACACGATTTAATTTGGGGCTGGAGAAGGCTCGATCAATCAATACAGGAGTGGGAGGAGGGTGCTAACCTTAGAATTTCTGGAGATCTTGCACAAAAGATCATAGGATGGTTTTGTGCTTTGGGAACAAGGATTATAAATGCGAGTGAGAACTAGAACAGGGCAAATAAGAATATGAAAATAGGGGGTTGAGGAATAGAATGTAACAGGTGCAAAAAGAAGACAAGGAATCAATTTTTTTCTCTAGCTACCAGCAAAACAGACCTATCAGACCTGGTATTCTTTGAAATCCCTACAACCCCCTCAAAAAATAAAATAAAATAAATAAAAAATAAATAAATGAAATCCCTACAACCCCCACCATTACTGCCCCCTCGGGGTGTTGGATTTGCACATTCATTCTTCATACATCTATTCACTCACCATTCCACTGACAAATAAAATAGAATGACTTACTCCCGCGCAGACTGAAAAGTGGATTTCCCCGGCTCAGGTTGCTTCTCTTCTCCCTTTTGTCTCCTGGAGGTCATTCCCCTGCTCCCCAGAAAACTCTCCCAACCAAGATTAAAATTGCTGAAACAAACCCTGCAATCTGACCAGACACCCTGAGGACAGTGTTCGTGGGAGACAAAGCTCAAGCGATTGGCTGGAGGTAAGACAGGAAATCCTCCCTGGGTTTCAGGTATTGTTCTATTTTACTATGCTCTCCACTTTCCAGTGGAGGGAAACAAGACCTGGGAACAAAATGTCTGCAGTTGTCTTCCCTGGGGCAGCCAGGAATTCGCGTGGAGGGGTGGGGGGGTGGGAGGCCTCTGAAGCCCCCCTCCCATTCCCTCCCCACCCTGCAGATTTTCTGAGCCTTGCCTGCCCAGTACAGCAGAGGGGAGGGAGAGCACCAGGCTCAATAAATACTTACATGATGACATCCATGTCCTTGCCCCTGTCACAGCACCAGGTGAAGGTCAAAGTATTTTCTTACACTAAGTGTCCATATCTTGTTACTTGCCTAACTGCTACTATCAGTTTGATTGATTGAATTATTCAAGATAACTAAAGGAATAAGAAAGGCTTGGGTTTTTTCATGCCCCAAAGCTATGTTTGTTGAAGAAATGGGAGAATTCTAATTCTAGGAACACAGGGAACTTCTTGATCATAATTTCTACGAGCTAGATACACTTCAAAACTGATGAGGAGTTTCCGCATACATTTACCTGTTCACTCATTTCTCCGATGCATTTATTGAACCACAAGTCTGAAGACTGAAAGGGGACTTGGAGCTGTGCCGCCCCTGGCTCCCCGGCTCCCAGGACCACTGGCTTCCTGCTATATTTGACTACAGGGCAGCAGGAGATTGGAGAAGGGGAAGATGGGAAAAGTCACCCTCGGGTGGTCTTTCTTTCTTTCTTTCTTTCTTTCTTTCTTTCTTTCTTTCTTTCTTTCTTTCTTTTTTTCTTTCTTTCTTTTCTTTCTTTTTCTTTCTTTCTTTTTTTCTTTCTTTCTTCTTTTTTTCTTTCTTTCAATATTTTATTGATTTCTTTGACAGAGAGAGAGAGAGAGCACAAGCAGGGAAAGCAGCAGGCAGAGGGAGAGGGAGAAGCAGTCTTCCTGCTGAGTAGAGAACCCCACCCAGGGCTCTATCCCATGACCCTGGGATCATGACCTGAGCCGAAGGTAGACGCTTAACCAACTGAGCCACCCAGGCTCCCCTCAAGTAGTATTTCTAAGAGGACATCCCTTCTGTCCTCTTCAGTAGCTCCAGGTCCCACAGACGGGCCCACCAGGGTTCCAGCTTCTGTCCTGTGACCCAGAACTAGTAGTCCCGCCACCTCCCTTTGACTGAGCAGCCTAGGGAATGGTGGCTTCCTGCTGATGCTCATCTCTGGGTGACCCTGTGACTCAATCACCCACACAATCCCACATTGAATGCTTGAAAATAGTTTTTGTCTTCCTGGTTAGACCCTGACTGGTAGAGGGTGATTTAGTTCACTGACTCAGTTGGAGATGAAACCCGAGATGTGACTATCTTAAGTAACACAGTTAAGAAATTATAAGAAATGTCTACCATGCATAAGGCACCGTGTTAGGCTCCATGTAGAAGATAAAAATGGTAAATTCCTTGGCTCTTCCTAAGAGCTTCTCATCTAATAAGAGAAATGAGGCATCTATACCAGCGGCTACAATACAGGACAGTACGTGCCAAGGGCTATCAAAAACATGACTAATTATGGAGAGCCGGGTCAGGGGACACAAGATAATGAGGGAAGGTTCCCTGAGTATACAGGAAACAGGACATACACAGGAGGATTTTGGCGGGAAAGTTGGTATATGCCTGGGGTTGGGGAGGGAGCTGATCATTCCAGGCACAAGGAACAGCCTCAAGGTGAGATCCTAGGGGAGTGGTGAGCTAAAAGCTAGGGCCACTGCAGTATTCATTATTTAAACAGAACATTTTTGAGAATGAAAAGGGACACTATTAATACTTACATCAATACTGCAGGCAGAAACCAGGGCCATGCCAGGGAAATAGAGACTGACTCAGATAAATCAGGAGATGTGGTCACCCACCAGGGCTTGGGCAGGGCCCAGACTCTGGGGGATTTTCCACCCGAGACTGAGGAGTTTGGACCTCAGGCTCCAACTGGGAATCCCTGGGAATCAGATCAAAGCAGCCATTTAGAGGGGAACAGAGACCATACTGTAAGATGCTCAACACACGCTCACAGTGTGCCAGGGGGAGGATGGAGGGCTCCTGCTCTCCAGATCTGACATGGGCTGTGGTCCCTGCTGGAGCAGGAACACCTCATTCTCCCATATGTCCTATTGGACCTACCACAATACATGCCCAGCCAGTGTGTGGGACTTGAGAAAGGGGAGAGAAATCAATGGTATATTCATGGTCTCCTTCCCCAGGGGAGCTCCAATTTTGCAGAGAGATAAGACTTTCAGGTGTTACACAGGGGGCAAAATGCAATTTGCAAACTCTAGTGTCACTGAATCCCAAAAGGCCCAATTAAGGCAAGGGAGCATTTCTGGTGCTAGGAGGGGAGAGGTCAGGGTGGCCTGGATCTTCAGACAACATGCCAGGAGCGTGGAACTTGAGCGTAGTGGAAAGGATTAAATTTTGGCTCCGGGTTTGGGGTGGGGGAAGTGGCGAGGGCATTTGTGGCAGATGTACCAGAGCTGAAATGAGCAGGTCATGTGGAAGGGACAGTAAAGAAAAGAGCTGGTGGGGAAAGGGCCCTAAAGACAGAAGCTGTGGGCTGAAAGGCCCAGAGTCCTGCTCAGGAGCACAAGGCACATGTGAACTGCAGTGGAAATTCTACTTTTCCTCTTCACCCGAGTGCAATTCTGAGCAGACGGGAGAGGCAGATGGCAAAGCCAGTATGGCACAGCAGTTAATGGACAGACTTTGCAGCAAGACTGCCTGGGTTCACACACTGCCCATTCACTGTGTGATGTTGACAAGCTACTAAAGTACTGTGACTGTACCTACAGCAGGGGATGACCTGAGGACTATAGGAGGTAATTCCTAGAAGTGCTTAAAGCAGGGCCCAGCACACAAAAAGCACTAAATCAGTAGTTCTCAGCCCAGGCTGAATGTCAGAATCACTAGGGGTGCTTTTCAAAAATAACAGGGCCAGAGGATTTTTAGGGCAGTGAACAACTCCGTATGAGACTAATGGTGAATACATGTCATTATGCATTGATCCATAAGCATGGACTGTGCAACACCAAGAGTGAACCTTAATGTAAACCACAGATTCTGGGTGATAATGACAGCTCCACATAGGCTCACTGATGGTAACTCTACCACTCTGGTGGGGGATGGAGATGGTGGGGGAGGCTGTGCGTGGGGTGAGTCAAGGACGGGTATGGAAACTGTACTTTCTGCTTATCTTTGCAGTGGACCTAAAAGTACTCTAAAGAATGAAGTATTTAAAAGGGGGGAGGGGACACCAGTGTCAAGGCCCCTCCCCCCCAAAAGCAAGTAAGCAGCATCTCAAGGGTGAGGAGCTTCACCATGCATATTTTTGCAGCTTCCCAGGTGATTCTAAAGGGGAACCAGAGCTCAGAAGCACTGAGATAAATGAATGCTAGCTCCTGTGTGGCCCTGAAGGAGGTAGAGGAATTGGTAAGTTGATGGGAGAGGAGGGATCTTTGCCTGGGCATGTATCAGGAGTGATTTCTTGGCTCTATTTTGAGACAAAAGTGCTAAGCTTTTGACAGCTTCTTGAGCCTCTGTGAGCAATGTAGGCTGACCAGATATTCTTTAAATAGGAAACAAGCAAACTGACTTCAGAAAGGAGAAAAAGAAAAACCTTCAGCATTACTACCATCAGGCTTAGTAAACAGACAACTGAACCCTCTTTTTTTAAAAAAAATTATTTATTTACTTGAGAGAGAGGGAGAGCCCAAGTGGTGGGGGGGAGGCACAGAAGCAGACTCCCCACTGAGCAGGGAGCCCAACACAGGGCTTGATCCCAGGACCCCAAGATCATGACCTGACCGGAAGGCAGACACTTTAACAACTGAGCCACCCAGGCGCCCTAACAGCTGGACCTTCTTATCAAAAGAAAACCCAAGGGTAGTTAGAAACGGTCCCTACATTCCACCCAAGCTAGCAGAATGCCCAGAGTGTGTCCAGAAATCTCAAGGCACATTGTGACAACAGAAGAACTCCTATATTAAATTATAAATCTGTCCATGAAAGACATGGCATCTTGAGAACAGGCCAAAAACAGCACACCACTAGACACTGGAAGACCCAGAGTTCTTTTATAAAAGCCAGTTAGCTTATAAAGACCAGTACTGCTAACTCGTCAAAAACCCAACTGACCGCAATCCAGGCCTGCTTCTTGTCTCAAAAAAATTGTGATTCCGTTCTACTAATCATTCATGGGGCACAGCTCAGAGTCCCATTTTTCACTTCCCCTCGGCATCCAATCCAGCAGGAACTCCTGGCAGATGGATACAGAACCTGGTGCCTCCTCGTCACATGCTCCAGGTCCACCCTGGATTGGGCCATTTCCTCTCTTGTCTGGATGATGGCTTTGCTGCTTGTGGGTCTTCCCCACTCTGCTCTATCTCCTCTGTAGCTGCAATGACCTTGCATGCTCCCACCTCCAGCTTCCTTCTGCCCCTGCTGGTCCCTCTGGAGAGAACACTCTGCCCCAGGATAATCCCAGCCCTCTCCTGCTCTCACCCTTCACACCCCTGCTCCTAGCACCTCAGCAAAGACCCCTTCTTCCCAAGACTCCTTCCCTTCCCCACCTCCTTTACTGTTTGTCACCTGACACTACTGGTTTTGCTGGTGTGACTCCTTCTTTACCCCCGTCCCATGAGATCAGGACTTCACTGTGCTCCCTACTGGGTCCCAGGGGTCTTGAATGGTTCTAGTGTACCATAGGCCCTCCATTAATCCTTATTTTTTGAAGGCAAGCCTCATGATCACTTCGTTTTGAGTTACAATCCAGCACACATGTTAGTAGATTTTGTTTTAGAGGACGGCTCTGGTAGAGAGAAATGCAGTGAGTAATATAATAGGACAGGAGTCCTAGGAGACAGGCTTTTTCACTTCAAATAGTGGCTGTGTTCCTAACCAGTTGTTAAGAACTTTGAAGACTCCCATGATCTTTCTGGGCCTTGGGTGATCTATAAAGTAAAAAACCAATTGGGTTGGATTAATTAAATCAGCCATTCTTAGGTGTAGGACCTGAGCATCAGTATTTTTTAGAGTTCTTCGTGTGTCACAGAGAGCCAGGTGTGGGATAATCCTTAGAGCTCAGCTTCTCACATGTCATTGTGCACAGGAATCTCCTGGGATCTTGTTAGAATGCAGAATCCAACTGGCAGGGGAAGGGGTCAGGACTTGGGCATTCTAGAGAGCTCCAGGGGCTATGGTGGTGGCTGCTGCTATGGCTCTGAAATCACCTTTGAGCGGCAAGTTCTTAGAGTTGCTTCCAGCTCCAGGACTCCAATGGTTCTAAAAAGTGAAAGTCCCTTTATTAAATTCTCAAAAAAATATCAGCTGTCACTTGACTCACTGCTCAATTTGAGCTGAGTTCCCAGTAATTGCTTGACAAGCTGCCCCCACATCCAGCTCTGTGGGTGTTGGAGCTAGTTTTGCTTTTTAAAAAAACCAACCACTCCACCCAGGCACAAAACCAGACCCGAGAACTTCTCTCTCAAAAGCAGTCTGAGAGTCTGCGGTCAGGGAAGAAACTGTCACAATTCAATTGCTTCTCTTTGTGTCCTGCCCTACCAGAGCCTCAGTGCATGTTATGTCCCTCTCTTTCATTCCTCTGGGCCATTTCACTGTGCCTCTGCCTTGATCCCATATCCTGGGGCCCTGTGGCTGAGTAAGTGTGTGGCCCCAGGCAGTCACAGGAAAGCAGGGAGCCACATGGCACCTGAGAGGAGCATCTCATGTTGCAGGAAGGCTGGCCTGGGCTGGAGGGCAGGAAAAACCCCTGCCTTGCTCGCCTGGCAACCCAGTGAATGGGAAATGATAAGGACAGAGAAGGGGCAGCAGCATAATGACCAGAAAAGCAGACTCCCGGGAGCTCAAATGGTCACGGGAGCTGCTGACACAGTGGTCTGCTCCTATAGCTCCTGCCAAGGGCCTTTTATAATTACTTCCTATCTTCACAATCCCCTTAGACCGCACAGCCTCTAAAGTAATAGTTGGCTGACCACCAAGAAGCCATAGTAATTTAAATCAAGCCCCCACATTCATATGGCTGCCCATGGAATGGTTCTGCAGGGGAGGAAAAAGTTTTCTCAACTATTCAGAGTCCATGAACAGACCTGAAAATTAAACTGATGAAGACAGATTAGCAGGAGGAAAGCATACACATTTTATTGAATTTTTACAAGGGAGTCTTCACAAGAGAGTGAAGACCCAAAGAAGTGACGAGAGCAGAGTCGTTTGATACATTTTAGACAAAAAACAAGAAGTTTGTGAAAAATTGATAAGACAGAGGGGTTTGGGCTAAAGGTAGCAAATGGTAAAGAAGTAACTAGGAAGGTAAGAATGAGTTTGACAAGGTTGTTTGTACAGATTTCCTGACCCCAAATTGCCTGTCTCTGGTGATAAAGATGTCTCCCCTCCCCCTGGCACAGGGAATGTACCTTTCTAGGAAGAGTTTTAAGACCTGTTGCAGGGAAACAGGGAGAGGATGGTTGTGGGGGAAGGAGTGCTCAGACCTTCCTCCTTCTGCTGTTTTTAATAATTCCTTCAGCTTAAGTTATTTAATATGCCGAGGTGCCATATTTTGAGGTAATGTGTCCTGAACCCCGTCAGCATTCCCCCCTCTCTTGGCAAAACTGTGGAGAATACAGCAAAAGCACTGAATGCATTATATAATTTATCTCATAGATCTTTACTGAATGTGTGATGATAACCAGGCACTGGGCAGGCTCTGGGGTACAGCAAGGAACACTGGACATATTTCTGCTCCCATGGAATTTACAATCCACTTGAGGGATCCTCACAATAAACACAAATACAAATAAATATGCATCATGACTGGAAACAATGCAAGTGTCCATCAACAGGTGAATGGAATAACAAATTCCGGTTGAGCCAAACAATGAAACACTGAAACACAGTTGAATGATAAAAAAGAATGAACTATTGGCACAGCAAAGGACACAGATGATTCTCAAGATAATCATGAAGAGTGAAAGAAGCCAGGTACAGAAGAGTACATGCCTGGTGATCTCATTTATATAAAATTCGAGAAAAGACAAACTAGCCTCCAGTGATAGAAGGCAGATGGGTTGCTGTGTAAGGATGAATGGCCAAGACAGCCTGCAAAGGGACACCGAGAAATCATTTGCGGGTGACAGACATGTTCATCTTGATGGTGGTGATGGCTTCATGGGTGTGTGCACATATCAGAGCTTACCAGATTGAACGCTTTAAATGTGCAGTTCATTGTGTGTCAACTACACCCACACAAAGTTGTTAAGTATATGTATACACACACACACACACACACACATACATTATGTCATGTGCTATGTGAAAAATAAAGCAAGATAAGAAAGGTAGGACATGCTGGGGCAGGTAGAGCTATTGGTGACTGGTCAGAGAAGCTCTAAGTGATGAGGTGAGCTGCAGCAGATGCAAGAACTAGCCATAGGGCTACGTGGGGAGAGAACATTCTGGGTAGAAGGAAGAGCAAGTGCAAAGGCCCTGTGGGAGCAAGCCACTAGACCTCATTAACATCTTTGAGTTCCGAAGTGGCTCAGAACTGAGTTACTAAAAGTACAGGGAGGAGGGGAATGGAGTCAGAGATAGGAGAAGCTCCCAGGCATGATGGGGCAAAGATAGAGGTAAATTTCATGGGGGACTCTTGGCTGAGAGGCAGAAAATAAGGCTGTGCTGGCCAGGACAAGGACATATGTTCCCAAACCAAATTTTGTTCTTAGTCCTGCACTCCCCCGCCAACCCACTGACCAACACCCCTTTCTTCAGAGTTGGAGCAAAGCCCATCCTGGGACTCATGGAGCCTGAGTTGGTTCCAGCCCTTCCCCCAAGTCGCTGTCTGTCCTTGTCAAGTAGCATCTTTATGACGTTCACCTTTAAAACGGGAGTCAGTCAAGTGATCACTAGCACTAATGCTGTGATTTCTACATCAGTGAGGCTCCCCATCTTGTCAATCATCAGAAGTGTTGGACCAAGATTCTGTGATTACAAATTAAGAATGAACCCCAGTTGGCCCCAAACTTCCCTAATGTTACCCGTCTGCTCTAAGTCCCCAGAAGGTGTTGATGGAGTGGCATTTACAAAGACATTTAGCACGCATCCAATTTCCAGGGATTACTGCACTCCTCTCTGTCCCAAGATTTGGGAGGGGCTCCTGACTCAGTCTGTCACCTGCTCCCAAACTAGCATCGATTTGCCCTGAGGGCCAGCACCGCAGTGGGATCAACTGCCCAGGAAAAGATGAGTGTCCCACAGTGTGGCTCCCATAACCATTCACTCCTCTGACACACTTACCTAACCAAAATCAAAACCAGAGTGTGAGGACAGGCGGGGGATTCTCGGCACAGACCTGTCACCCTGGGGACTAAATGGGAGTTTCTTGTCAGACCCTCAGGACTCATTCAAGAAATGCTCGAGGCATGGTCTGAGGAATGCCCAGGATGCTGAAATCATTCAGGAAGAACGCCCGCCTGGGCTCTGTGCTGGGAACAAGGAGGCCTTCGGGGTGCAGAAGGTTCCGCCAGTCATCCTTAAGACTTGTTACACCTACTTAAGCTCACAGGAACACAAAGTTCACAAAATGCTTTCCAACCTCAGATGAAATGCCTTTTCTGTCTTAGCCAAGACATAGCAGGATTCAGTCATCTTTATTTCTACCCAATGGTCCCTTGATGAAACACATTAATTACATCTCATCCTCCAAAGGGAAATAGCCGAGGGAAAATGCTGCCAAGCTCTGCTACCCGTCTTACCTCCTAGTTGCCCTATTTTTAATCAGGTCAAAAATGATAGTTCAGTGTGGGGGCATGTTCAAACTGCATAAAATATTATTTACAGAGAATTCTAAATCACCCATCCTGATTTAATCCCCATACCAATCCCATAAAGCAGTACTATCATTATCCCCATTTTGCAGATGAGAAAACTGAGTCTTAGAGAGGCTAAGTAACTTGCTGAAGATGATACAGTATATAAGATCTGGGATTTACATCCAGACAACCTGGCTTCAGATCGTTGCTCTAAATGGTGGAAATAAAGGAAAACCACCTTTCCTTTGTAAGTAACATTGATGGTGACAATTCTGCTGTTAGCAGGATGTGTGGCTTGAAGTGTTTCTTGCAGGGATCAAGATGTTTGAAACTAATTCTCCAATACTCATTTGCCCAGACTCATTTTTGACCAACGACTCATGTTTTTTAGGTATTTGGCAAGGAGTCTGGGTTTCCCTGGGTGATCATGTCCAGAAAGAGGGTGACGGCCTCCAGAAACCAAAGTGTCTGGCTCAGACAACAAGAACTTATAAACAGCTCTTTGTGACAAACCAGAATGGCTTCGAGAATATAACAGTGTCCCGGTGCTCCTGGCATCTGTCCACCCAGATGTGAGGAATAACTAAAAAGTCTAACACATCACTACAGTCACAGATTTGACCATCTAAAAACCTTCCAAACAGGGTTTCAAGTACAAGCATATATGAGAAAAGCAGCTTCAACTTGTGGCTGGGTTCCAGCTCACCTGTTAAATGTCCACTTCTTTCCTGGCTTTGAAAATTCTCCAGGGACTCTAATGCTTTTCAAAACTATTCAGATAAAATTATCCTGGCTCTAAGTACAACTGCTGTCAGCTAGGGCAGAGTAATTCTTTCAGAGTAATTCTGGGACCACATTGCTTTCAGGGAGTGGTCAGGAAAAGGGCATCAATTATTAACTAATAACTGATACTTGTTGCATGCTTAATGCACACTTTGTTGACCATTTTGAATGAAAAATCTCATTTAAATTATCACAAAAGATCACTTTATGAAGACACCAAAGCACAGAGAAGTTAATGGACTTGCTCAAGGCCAAACAGCTAGCAAGGGGCGGAGCATGGCGACAGCGAAATTAGGACGTTGAGGCAGGACTTGGAGAATTTTGTCATCATTTACAAACACATGAGTCTGTGGGGATAAGAGATGACAGAAATCCCACTCCCTGCCCCTAGGAGCTGAAGAGGGGACATCAGTGAAGCAGAAGTCACTAACTTCATGCAGCCAATATCAACTGAGCCCTGAATGAAAAGTCCAGGCTTCACAGAGCTTTCGGTCCAGTCAGGAGACAGACAGAAGCCAAGTAAAGGATAATGTGCAGGGGGCACCTGGGGGGATCAGTGGGTTAAGCATCTGCCTTCAGCTCAGGTCATGATCCTGGGGTCCTGGGATTGAGCCCCTGAGTCAGGCTCCCTGCTCAGCAGAGAGTCTGCTTCTCCCTCTCCCTCTTCCCCTCTCCCCTGCTCATGCTCTCTCTCTCTCTCTCTCTCTCTCTCTCTCTCATATAAATGAATAAAATCTTTAAAAAAAATGAATACTCAATTTTTGTCCAGGTTCCTGGAACATGGCTCCTGAAACCATTGGAATCTCTGGAATGATGTCTTTTGTGTGGTGATGAGATGACTGGTGCCTGGAAACCCCTAGTTAAGCTTCAGGAGGGGGCATGGTCCCAGAAGGACCAAGGCACGATTACAAGGTTGGAACTTCAGCCCCAGGCCCAGACCTCCGGGGAGGGAGAGGGGGGGAGAGGGGCTAGAGATGGTTAATCACCATTGGCCAAAAATTCTATCATTTCGTGCCTACATAATGGAAGCTCCAGAGAAATCCCTAAAGGACTGGGTTGAGAAAGGGCCCAGGTTGGTGACTATATCAAGGTTCCGGGAGAGGGGCAAACCTGGAGCGGTCACGAAGTGCTACAGCCTTGACCCCACGCCTCGCCCTATGTATCGCTTCTGTTTGGCTGTTCCTGAATTGTACCCTTTATAACAAAAGGATTATGGTAAGTAAAGTGTTTTCCCCTGAGTCCTGAGTTGTTCTGGCCAATTACATAACCTGAAGGGGGGAGAGGAGATTGTGGGAATCCCCCGACTTTGTAGCCAGTCAGACAGAAGTGACCAGGGATCCAACAATACTTGCAACTAATGATGTCTGAAGCAGGACGAGGGGGTGATCTTGAGGGAGGGAGATCTTAAACCTGTGGAGTCTGATGCTACCTCTGAATATCTGGTTGTCAGAACTGAACTGAACTGTAGAACAGCCAGCTGGTGTCAGAATTGGTTGGTATCAGGAAGAAAAAAGATGACTCATTCTGCTAATTGTCTTCTTCTGTGTCTGCTTCCTCCGCTGGACTGTGAGATCACAGAAGTCAGGGGTGAGACATTTTCTTAGCCCTCCACATGCTCCTATTTAGGGCTGATGAGAACCTACCAAGTGTGCTTGATGTTTGCAGAATAAATGAATGGATTAGGAATGGAAAGAATTGTCCTACAGGCAAAAAGGAGCCTTAGAAAGTTGTTTTCCAGCAGGATGAAGAGGCTTAAGTAGGTGATTTAAAAGATTAATTAGGTACATGTTAGATGGAGAGAGGGTGTAGTAGATCACACAGTTTGCCACAATTTCCTCCTGTGCATTTACGCACACCCTATTGCAATGTGACTTTGCCACTCCACTCTTAAAGAAGTGGCTTCTACTTTTGTGCTGCTTAAATATGGTCCGGTGACTTGCTCCCACCAGGGGAATGTATTGGAATTGGTATTACGGTGGCACCCAAAAGGCCTGCAGATCCATTCCCCTGGAATGCTGCTCTGAGACCACAGCATGGGGAAGCCAGTTCTAGCCTCCTGGAGGAGGATAGGAGCCCATGTGGAAGAGAGCTGAGGTGGCCCAGACAACAACCAGCATCAACTCCCAGACCTGTTGGTGACGCCGTCTTGGACCTTCCAGCCCAACCAATCCTCAAACTCAAGTGGCCAGAGGGAGCATTGAGTGAGCCAGGCCAAGCCAGCAGAGGAACCACAGCCACCCCCACAGAACCATGAGAAATAATAAAACACTGCCATTTCAAGGAACTCTGTTTTGTGGTGGTTTATTACATAGCTTCTCAGCCTCAACACTACTGACATTTTAGACTGGATAGTTCTTTGTTGTAGGGCATTGCCCCGGGCAATGTCCAATGTCTAGCAGCACCCTTAGCCTCTCCTCACTGGATGCCAGGAGCATCCCCTCCCAGCCGTGACAATCAAAAATATTTCCAGACATTGTCAAATGTTCCCTGGGGGCCAAAACACAAGTGACCCAGGAAATCTTCATATTGATCTTTCCTTCACAATCTTAAGTAATCAATATCCAGTTTGAGGCATAACTGGAAAAATGTTTCTTGCCCCTTGACTCATAGATGCCCCCAGGTGGCCCAGGTGAATCCAGCTGGTATTTTGGGACCAGTACTACATTATCAGAGAAGTCAGTCACCCCTAAGTCAAGATAGGCAAATGGTAGCACTTTTTTCCCTAAAATGTTCAGGTATATCATGTTTTAGTTTCCTAGAGCTGTCATAACACACTACTATGAAGAGAGTAGTAAAAAAAAAAAAATTATTCTTTCACAGTTCTGGAAGCTAAAAGTCCCAAATCAAGGTTGTCAAGGCCCTGCTCCCTCTGAAGGTTCTAGACAAGAATCTTCTCTTGCCCCTTCCTAGCTTCCAGTGCTGGGGGGCAGTCCTCGGCATTTCCTGGCTTGTAGCTGAATCCCTGTGGCTCTGCCTGTCTTCACATGGCTATGTCCCCATCTGTGTCTATTTTCTCCTTTAAAAAAAAAACACCAATTATTGAATTAAAACCCACGTCAATCCACCACCATCTCACCTTCAGTAATAATTACAACTGAAAATATCTTAATTCCAAATAAGGTCACATTCTGATGTCCAGATGAACATGAATTTTGGGGAGGACACTATTCAACCCATATACATCATGCGCAGACGGGCTCACGGTGACTGTGCATGGCCCCCACCAGGTCCTCTGCAGGGCACGCCTCCAGCCTACCCCAGGCTGGACTGCTGAGCTAAGGAGGGGTAGGAGGAGCAGCCTCACCCCTGCCTTGGATCCAGGCTTTCTGACCAACCCCACTCACTCCAGCTTCCCCTCCCTCCCACCTCTCTCGCAATCCGTGCTCTCTCATCGTGGTGGGATGTGATTGCTCGTGACCTCCTTGCTGAGGAGAGGAGCCTCTCTCTAGGTGTGGGTTCCTGGACAGATTATCTGTTTGGCTGCCTTAAATCGTGTTCACAAAAGGCCACAATTCCTTGTATGTATACGCACTCCTCAAAATTCACTTTCTATGAGGTAGAAAACATCTATTTGCATTTTCTTCTCCTCCTCCCAACCCCCACGTATTTTGAAGAAAAAAAAATGTTTTCATGCTACAGTGCAAACCATGCTTTTATTAACGTCGCCCTCCCTTGGAATGCTTTCCTGGCTTTCCACTTCTCCCCTGCCAAGCACACTTGACCTGTGGTATGTAAAGGTCACAACAGCCCTGATCAATCTCCTCGAGCAATCTCACTTGTTCAAAGCACATGGTGTTACAAGATTAGAGGGGTATGTGGAGGAGAACCCAGGGACCAGGGATAGAGAAGAATGATGCCAGGTGAGGAAAGAGGTAAAATCAGAAGGTCCATTGATAAGTTCTTGACCAGAGTGGAACTGCAGATTGGGTTTATGAAGACAGGAAAAAAAAAAAATCCTTGGGAAACACAGGAAGAGGAGCTTTTGAACATCTGAGAGTGAAGATTTAATGACCTAAAGACTAAACTCAGGTAGGTTAAAAACAAAAGTACTTTTCTTTGGGGAACTATGAGTTAATCTGGTGGTTTCTGGTGTCCTGATGATGGCAAGAAAATCTGAGACTAATATGATAACTGACAAGCCTTTTTTATTTTAAGATTTTATTTTTTTATTCATGAGAGACACAGAGAGAGAGAGAGAGAGAGAGAGAGGCAGAGACACAGGCAGAGGGAGAAGCAGGCTCCATGCAGGGAGCCTGACGTGGAACTAGATCCCAGGTTTCCAGGATCATGCCCTGGGCCAAAGGCGGTGCTAAACCGGGAAGCCACCCGGGCTGCCCCTGACAACCAGCCTTTAATCTTTGGAGGACATTTGCACAAAATACCATTCATTTGCCTAAGCAGCATTTAACACACTGGTAGAAGTCAAACTACATTGGCAGGTGAATGTTTTAGGATGTAAAGAATTTTTCATCTTGGGGCACCTGGCTGGTTCAGTTGGAAGAACATCAACTCTTTTTTTTTTTTTTTTTAAAGATTTTATCCATTTATTCACGAGAGACACAGAGAGAGACAGGCAGAGACACAGGCAGAGGGAGAAGCAGGCTTCCTGCAGGGAGCCCGATGCCGGACCTGATCCTGGATCCTGGGACCACACCCTGAGCCAAAGGCAGATGCTCTACCGCTGAGCCACCCAGGCGTCCCCAAGCAAGCAACTCTTGATCTCAGAGTTGTGAGTTTGAGCCCCACGTTGGGTGTAAAGATTAAATGAATGAATGAATGAATGAATGAATGAATAAATAAATAAATAAATAAATAAATAAATAAATAAATAAGAATTTTTCACCTTGGGCAATTACATTGGAATCACCTGGGGTCCAGACTGAATTAGTCAAAGTCGAAGGCCAAGCATTACAGGGTTTTAAAAGTATCTTGGAGGATGCTCATGGGCAGCTATGGTTCAGAACTTTACTGGTGTTAAAACGTCAGAGTTTTCAAAAGATCATTAGTACCTAGCACATTCCTAAGCAGAAAAATACAACCGCATCTAATATCGTATTGCCCCATCAATCTTCCTTGTACCAGGACTGAATGCCTTTCCCAGAGGCTACTTTTCAAAATGGCAAAACAAGAGTTTGGAAAGAGTACATTTCATCAACTCGGGTCTTTAGTTGTTACAGTAAACCTGCTGGACTTCTGGGATGAGAATGAGGACTCCGTGCCCCGCCCACAGCTCAAGTTCTCTTCCTAAATTTCTCTTCCCATTTTAACCTGCCCACCTGCCCCTGGGATTCATCATGGTCTTCTCATTCCTCCATCCCTTAGCTCCCTTACCCCACAAACACTGGTTGTGCCTACATTTCTGGTCTTGTATAAACAGCAAATAACGTAAATAACAAACCTCAATTCTTAAGTGGCATTCCATCAGTCGAAGAACACTCATTAAGCCTCTCTCCTGGCTAAGAAAAGTGAGTATAATATTTTAGCTAAGTGTGAGACTAAAATTAATCAAGGAATATGGATTGAGTGCTCAGAGGGACAAAGGCAAGAATGGAAAACATACCAAGAGTACAGTATGTAGATACTCAAGGATCTTACCATCTAGACCAGGGATTAGCAAACTATAGCCCATTGACCAAACCTGGTCCCCTATCTGTTTCTGTAAATGGTTTCATTGGAACACATCCATGCTTAAATATATATATATATATATAGTCTATGGCTGCTTTTATACTACTATGGTGGAGTTGAGTAGTTGTGACAGATCATCTGGCCTTCAAAGCCTAAAATATTTACTATCTGGTTCTTTCTAGAAAAAGTTTGCCAATGTTGATCTAAATTAATATCATATATATTTATGGTACATATAAAACCATCCACCCACCCATCCTCTTAGTAAATATTTATGTTGCACTTTACTAGGTCCTAGGGGATGCATTAGTGTGAAACAGAGACGGTTCCTACCCCAAGGAGGCCTACAGTCTACTGAACTGTCAATCCTAAGCAATAAATAAGCACCAAAGAGGTGTCCGTGCAAAAGAGAAGAGAATGTCGAGGCTAGACAGAGCCGTAACTAGAATTATTGTGAACTATAGAGATGGATTCTAAGTTGAACAGGATGAAGAGAAAGGAGGGGAAGGCCTTGACAAAATTAGAGTGAAGAGGCAGGAATGTCTACTCCATGGATGAGGGTGGCAAGTGGCACCTGGGCTGGCTTCCGGTATACTGGGGAGCAGGGGAGGGAATGGCATGATTTGTTCACCATTTATCTTCTGTACTAGACTCGAAGTTTGATGAGAGCATGGAAAATGTTTATCTCTACCCCTAGCATTATGCAACAGGACTGCCATATAATAGCTGCTTGATGAATATTGTTTAAAGAATTAAATAGTAAATGGGGACACTTGGGTGGCTCAGTCGGTTAAGTGTCTGACTCTTGGTTTTGACTCATGTCATGATCTTAGGGTGGCGAGTTTGAGCTCCACATTGGGCTCTGTGCTCAGTGTGGAGTCTGCTTGAGATGTTCTGCATCTCCCTCTCCCCCTACCCTTCCCTCCACTTGCACACTTTCTCTCCCTCTCAAATAAATAAATAAATAAAATCTTTAAAAAATGAATTAAATAGTGAATGAATAAATGAGCATCTTGACTATCAAGTTAGATATTCTGTAAGTCAGTTAAGTCAAGAATTTCAACCATGATAAAGAGTTCTCTGGTCATATTTTGATACAAAAGAATGGATAGAAAAATGAGAAAGCTAGTGTTTATTGAACAACTAGTACACAGCAAGAACTTTACAAGCATGATATTATTCAATTCTCTCAGCAATCCTTTTATTTTGCAGATAAAGAAATTCAGTCTTGGAACGATTAAATACCTGGCTATGGTCAAACAGCCAGAAAATAGTAGAGCCAGAATTCAAACCTCATTCTTACTCTGTTATTCTCAGATCCAAGGCTATTGCACATGCGCATGCCTACTGGTCATTTTCATACCATGCTCTGTAGACCTGGGGCTCCTCAGAGTCCCCGTAAGGACCATCTGACCAGTTCTGTAGCACAGAGGACTAAGAGCACGCAGACTGTCCACCCACTTTCAACCAAAGCAGTTCTTATATTTTCTACTTCATATGTGGAGCTTCCTGATTTCATCAAACAAATAGTTCTTGGGGAAACAAAAAAGAATAGAAACCACTGTACTGGACCATACTACTTCCTAAAATCAAGCCAGAAGGCATGGTTTCTAGCCTTCTGCCGTCACCAGTGTGCTATGGGATCATGGCCAGCCACTCCTCCTTCCTTCCGTTGTTACGCAAGAAAGGTTGGATGACGGTGCCAAAACCCTGTTGCGTTTCTTGACTTTCCAGAGAGAACAAGATTAAATGAAGAGCTCATTTAATGAAGGAAAATGCCCGGACCACCTTGAATAAAAGTCTAGATAAAGCTGTAATTCCATCAATGGCAGCAAATTAGAGGAGTGTGAACAGTTACCAGACAGAGTTCAGCTGGATGCCTTGGCTGACATCTGCTCATAGCATCTAACATGGGAGTACGAAAAGCAAACAGGAGCCAATCATTTGGCCTTCCCCGACATCAACCCGCACATGACATAACGCAGGGGCCTTGCTAAACAGTCCACAGAGGCACATTTACTTACCAATAGAGATGTAACACATGAATATACTGATTCTGGAAGAATTCACAACTGGAAACAATGCCACACTCATCGATGGCTCGGCCATTCTTATACCAAGTTACCTCTGGCTTGGGTTGACCTGATAATGAAGACATAAGAATGTTCTTATTGCATTAAGTATTTTCAGGAAAAAAATCATAAAGCTATGAACAAGAATGGGTAATAAGCAATAGGGATGAGCATGATGAAGTATCTCAGTTCGGGAATGCCCTCTCCTGGATTCAAATGCATCACTCAGTAAGCACTAATGAGCATGCTACATGCCTAAGATGATGTGATACTGGGGTGGGGGTGAGGCATCCAAAATGAAAGATCCTCTCCCTAATCTCAAGGAGCTATTAAGAAAAATTATCTAAAACATGGATATGAGGCAAAAATGTGGGTAGGATCTTCTTTCAGTGTCATAGGGGGACAAAGGTCCATCTAGGGGAATGTACTCTGTTTAATTCGAAGATTACTACTGATTAAAATTCCCAGATTTAGTGAAGCTACACGTAAACTGGTAAATTTTTATCCAGTGGAGATGTAAATGATCTCTGCCCGTCTGAAAAAAATAACTCTGTAAGTCATGGTTTATTGCCCTATAGGACATTAACCAGTATTTTTACCTGGATCAGCAATCTTATCCTAACATTCTTTTATCAAATTGCCCATAAATAAATAGTTCCTCAAATGTTCTTTGACCAGGACTTCCTACTTTCTGGTTCCCTCTTTACTTAAAGATTGAATGAAACCATTGAAATGTTCGTTGCACATTTGCAGGGAAGTCGCTTGACCTTTGGAAAATTGTACTTTAACTGTAATGGCACAGAAGAGGGAAGAACGAAGTGGAGGAGCAAAATGCCATCTCCTAAGGATGAAGGAGTCCAGGATGTGTGTTTCCCAGGCAGGGACTGTGCATACCTGGCTGGCGCCATCACAGACACTGCCCTACGCCTTCTCCCTCAGAAGGAGCCCATCCTGCCCTTGTGATCATTAACCAGATGTGATGCCAATGGACTCATCTGGTAAAACCCCAGATCACCTCTTGGGATTTTTCTACCCCGTGTTATAGCTGAAGGAAGGTTTCCAGTGTGTCCCAGTGAGCTTTCCCCTTAGCTTCTATTTCATTGAAAACATACCCAAATGTGCCATGTGATCAGAGGAAAAGTCCAATATTGAGAAACAAAACACTTTCTAGATCCATCCTTCTAGTGTTTCTGTTTAATTCATCACAGGATTTTTGGTGAGCGGCCCCAGAGATCACTACGGGAAGTGCTGGGTGCGCTTCTGAGATCTGCACCATGGACAGGACCTGAGGGTGCTCAGAGGCCCTGCCTCCTTCCCCATGTCTTGTCTGATCTGGGGCCTCCCAGCCAGGCTACCTCTGTGCTAACTCCATCAATGTGCTTGGTGGCCACTGTGGCTATCACTCCTTGCCTCTCTCTCTTTAGGCAGGGGCCTGACTAATCAGTCCGCGGAACCAGGAGCAGACAGGCCTGCGTGCAAGGACACATCCTTCTTTACCAGTGGCTTGGCGGAGTCCCTTCCAGGCAAATGACTAAACCACCAGAAATGAGCTTCCCTGAAAAACCATCAAGGATGCTGCTGATAATTCATTTCGGCTTGTTCTTAGCAGCTTTGCATCCCCCTAAAATCATCTAGTCAATTTTACTAGATTCCTTCTCAGGAAGTATCGAGTTGCTCCTATTTTTGTGCATAGTTGTGTGTGTGTGTTTTTTTTTTTTTAAGATGGTACCTAAGGTACGGGGAACTCATTCTAATCGCTTGGACCCCAGTTTTCTTATTCACACCGATCAGGGCTGGTTGATGCCCGCAGTTTCTTAATGGCTGACGGGTTTTTTCCTTCTGTGCAGTATAGATCTGAATAATCAGCCAGAAATGAGACTTACACAGGGAAGTGGTATCTTATACCTTGTGGGTGGTTTTCTTTTCTCCCTCCACTTGCTGGAAACCTCACCCGAAAATCCTCCCTTGTTTTTGAAGCCTACCTGCAGGTCACATATTGAGAGCCACCTCCAGAATGTTTCACAAGCATCCGGCTAATGGGTGTGGGGACTGGTAGGCAAGTTTAGTGTATGTCCCAACACTGGGGCTTCCTGAGGAGACATGGGGGCCCCAGTATGAAGGCTCAGTGGTAGACTTGTGCCTGTCCCTCCTCTGAAGGTTCAATGATGGACAAACACCGAGAAAGATGGGGGATTGGCTCTGGCCTCAAAGGAGCTAAGCGCACAGTCATACACTCCAGCACCCAGACCAGAGAAGAGATTTTATTACGACTTTGGCTAAGGAATCGTGGCCATTTCAGAAGCTGGCTCCTTTCCTCTTCCCTAGAAAAAGTGAGCTCAGGGGAGAAGAGTTTTCTAGGTACCCTCAGGGAAGACCACCGGTGCCTCTGTCTTTGAAGAAAGAGACATAATCCAAGAAAGAAAACAACCCACAAGGTACAAGATACTACTTCCCTACCCTACTATTTTGCTTCTACTATTTCCTTTTAATAATAAATCCTCCTTACTACTGGGGATACCTATTTGGGGGCCACATCTGGGCTATTTACTCTCCAGTCCAGGGGGAGTTCCAGTCTCCTGCTTCTCTCCATTGGGCATCCTCAGCCTTGGTTTTGCCCTCTTTACTGTTGACTAGCATGCCTGAAGAAGGTAAGCAGTGGGAGATGCATTTAGCCAGTTTGGGGATGTCAGGGAAAGAGTGAAGAAAGATTTCATCAAGTCATCTGAAGTAAAGTTAATCATCCCATTCCTACGTACACAGGAAATTAAGAGTGTATTATTTGAAAAAACAACCAGTGTGGGAATCGCCTAACCAAGAACCACAATGTGAAGTGAAAAGGATCATAAAAATATGCCCAGGAAGCTACTCGAAGAAATTCTCCAGATTGGGGAAAAAAAAAAAATCATAGAGGATTTAGTTGTTCCACTGATCACTCAGACCACGCTAGCCAGGCCATGATGTTTTTAATAATGCCTTTGTGAGCCTAAAACCCTGGGCCCCAGGGAGATTGCAGAGGGTCATTAGCCACTGAGGGTTACCAGATATTATGCAGCGAAGCACGGCGTCTGACTTCTCAGGAACCTTCTGGGAAAGTAACGTAGATAAAAAACAAAGTGTGCGCCTCTGGGGCCCTCCCAAGTCTGTCATCCTTTCATGCCACGTGAATCTGAAAAACAAAAATCCCTGACATCACCATTTGTTGGGGGATTCCTCTGACTTTCCCGGGAGTGCTGGTGGTGGCTCTTGGGAAGAGAAGGAGCGCAGCGTGGTCCCTGGCTTGCAGAAGGCTGGGCGGTGGCCCTCAGCAGGTGGGCAGGTGGGCAGGTGGGCAGGTTGCAAGAAGCCCGCGGGCAGGTTTTTTCACCTGCTGCAACGCCCGGCACTGGGACCAGATGCTTTGTCGTGGGGGCTGTGCTGTGCACTGTCGCATGCTTAGCAGCATCTGGCTTCCACCCACCAGACGCCGCAGCCCTCCCCCAAGTCGTGGCAATCAAAAATATCCGCAGACACTGCCAAGTTTCCCCAGGGAGGGCAGCCCCAGTACAGAAGCATGCACCCCAGTGGGTTGCAAGGCAGCTTGTCCCCAGACAGAGAGCACGGCTTGAGCTGACACCATTTACCATCTCTCTTTTCTCTTTCTTTCTGTCCTTAAAGTCTTCTCATTGCACTCAAAAAGGGTGCAAGCCATGCTTGCGTCCAAAGAAAGAGTTGATTAAATGCAAAGGAATCTCCAGGTGGGAGGTATTTTGAAATTGGGAAAGTACTGCTCCCTCCGAGCCCCAGACGAGCGCCTCCAGGAGGGTGGGGGATGGGCTGGCAGTTTTGAGCAAGCCTGTATTCATTGATACTGGAAGGCTTTTAACACTTGATTAGTCACCAGGTGTGTTATTTCATTTCATTTCTTTTAAATTCCCTGAATGGTTATTAACACCTCCTACACCTTACCCATGTGGAATCTCAGAGAGATTCGACAAGTTGATCAAGGTCACACAGCCCAAGTGGCTGCTGCCCTGGGGCGCCCTTCATGGCTGTGTAGGCTGACACTGCTAGCATGCAAGGTGTCCCCGGAGTTGCGCAGTGCACAACCCACACAGCCCTAAGAAGCCAGGTCTGTCTGAACCCAGAGGACCCTATCCTCTCTTTCCTCCAGATACAGGCTAGCACCACTCTGCCAAAATGATCCTTTGGAGAGCCCCACGCTTGTAAATAACATTTTGCTCTATCCAAACTGGAGGCTCCCATTCCTCTGGATGTTGGTGAGCAGTTCCCATATGCTCAAAGCTCAGGAAAGGGAAAGCACACCCCACAGTGGGATACATTTAGCATGGATGGGGTGAGGCACACTTCGACATGCAAACAGTGATTCTGGGGATGCTGAGCATCCAAAAGCAAGAGCGATCCAAGCTCTAGGCTGTATCTTAATAGTCACAACTGTATCATCAAAGGGGAAACCCCACTCCATATGGGTGGACCTTAACTATTTAGAACCAATTCCTCCAATGTGCAGGGCCTGGTTCAAGATGAAAATGAGGGGTTCCTTGTTCAAAAATGATCGAGCTATTTGAGATAGCAACAAAAGAGCCATAAACTGAGTGCTGGGGCCCTTATGGGCATGGGGCCCTGTGCGAGGCTCACACTGTGGGACCCTGAGGCTGGCCCTGCCCGGTGGACACGGCCCTGAGAACATTCTGCTCACCAATGGCCACTAGTGCTTCCTCCCCTTTGAGGCCTTTCCTTCAGCTTTTGGTGTTCCCAGGGCATTTCCTTAATCTTAAGGTGTTCTGTTTAGAAATAAGGTTAGTCCTTGAAAACAAAAAAGCACTCCCAACTTCTGCTTAGTGAAACACCCAAGCTCTCTGAGTATGGGGGTAAAAACAATTAATTTAGGAGAATGTACCTCCTTCCTTTCTTCAGGAGAATGTGTAGAAAGCAACTTTGTGCTTTGACCTGAGGTTCAGCTAACATACAGAACGGGGAGAGAGAGCTGTACAGCTGAAGAAATAATAGGTTTGCATCAAAGAGGAAGGTAAGTGCTTAGGTCTGATACAGAGCACAAGGGCAGGGAGAGAAGCCCACAGGGCTGCAGGGAACTGGGGCAAAGAAGATTGAGCCAGAGAAACGGAAAAGAGGATGTTAAGAAGTTTTGTTCTACAGTTGTTGATTGGATCCTCTCGACACCCCTTAATCAAGACTTGAATTGCATTTCCGGTGATTTTAGGTTACAGGGCTTTTTACTGGATTTATTTATTTGTTAAGATTTGTTTATTTATTTATTTGAAAGAGAGAGAAAGAAAGCCCACGCACAAGAGCTGGAGGGAGAGGGAAAGAGAATCCCAAGCAGACTCCCCACTTATTGATCTCACGACTTTGAGATCATGACCTCAGCCGAAACCCAGAGTCAGCTGCTTAACCAACTGAGCCACCCAGGTGCCCCAGTTTTAGGACATTTTAAATGTAACCTGTAGAGATTGGCCCCCACAGGGTTCCTGATTAATAGGTATTATATTTAAAAGATCATAAGCACCTCTTAGTCTAGATAGTAAGTTAGTTGCACAGAACAGCAAGAAATTCTGTTGGCAAGATGTCAAACAGACACCTGCACCCCAGATTACATAATAAGTACATTTGTGGTTGATGGTTCCAATCAGTATAAAAAGGCCAGACTTGACCTGCATTATTTACTTAGCAGTCACAGAAATGTCTAATGGAAAAACTATCTCAACTAGGTTGAAAGAAATCTCAAAGACAAATAACTCCAAAGGGCAACTTTTATGGTAGCCACTTTGCACAAGGAAGTTTACAGAAGACTTGGTGTGTGTGGCTGAATTACTGTATGAATAGATGACTAAGCCAGAATGAGTGTGGGTCCCACAGTGCTCAGAAGCCAAGAAAAATGAATGGCAACGTGCTGTCCTTTCACTGCTGAAGAAATGTTCTCCACCCCCCACGTACTGTGCCTCCCCCCCCCCCCCCCCGCCGAAAATACACACCGAAAGAAGCAGCATCTTTGGTTAATGTCAGTATTTGCTCATCCATTTCAGAGGTCTGAGCAGGTGATGAGAGCTAGAGCTATGGAACTGACTTGAGATAAAAGTTGATATTTCTCAGTATTATTGAACAAACATTGTTGGGGCTAAATGTAAGCAAAAGGCAGTAAGAATGGACTCTAAGTCCAGTTTTAAATTTTTTACTGTATTTCAGAACTGAAAATGCAAGTTGTATTTGTGACCTCATCTACTGTTTTAACTCAATATAAAATATAGAACAAGGGTTGGCAAACATATCAAAGTACAGCTTCAGAAAGACAGAGGAAAGGAAAGGAAAGGAAAGGAAAGGAAAGGAAAGGAAAGGAAAGGAAAGGAAAGGAAAGGAAAAGGAAAGGAAAGGAAAGGAAAGGAAAGGAAAGGAAGAAAGAAGGAAATAAAAGAGAAAAGAAAGAAAGAAAGAGAAAAAGAAGAAAAAGAAAAGGAAAGAAAAGGAAGAAAGAAAGAAGAAAAAGAAAGAGAAGGAGAAGAAGAAAGCAGGAAAGGAAAAGAAAGACAAAAAGAAAGAAAGAAAGAAAGAAAGAAAGAAAGAAAGAAAGAAAGAAAGAAAGAAAGACAAAAAAAGAAGAAAAGGAAAGAAAAAGAAAAAGGAAGGAAGAAAGGCAAGAGAAAGAGACAGAGTGAGATTTAGAATCATCCTCCAAATAAAGATATTTGGAGTATTTATTACTGATCTGGTAAATTTTCCAAAGATGAGAACCATGCAATTTTACGTATTTTATACCCCAGTTGGCATATTGGTCAGACACGGCACATAGGTAGGTTTTACAACCCAAGAAAAGCAGGGAGTAGGAGTCAGAACTCTTAGTTACAACACATCCCTTTATTGTTTTTGAGCAGCAGCATGGCACCGGTGCTAGGAGATCCAGAGCCGGATACCCTGGGTTCACACGCTGGCGGCACTCCCTACCAGCATTGTCAATAAGCGTATCACGGCCCCTCCGTGCCTCAGCTTCCTCATCTGTAAAATGAAGGCAAAACAGTGGTCTATACTTCCTAGGTTGTTATAAAGATTAAACGAGTTATTGCTTGCAAAGCACTTCGTACAGCACCTGGCACAAAAGTAGGTGCCCGATAAATGTTAGCACTAATTATTTTTTTAAATGCAGCTTTGATTGAAAACATTAGCCCATCTGACTGGCAGCAAGGCTGAGAGATATGCAACATTTTTTTTTCTTTATTTATTTATGATAGTCACAGAGAGAGAGAGGGGCAGAGACCCAGGCAGAGGGAGAAGCAGGCTCCATGCAGGGAGCCTGACGTGGGATTCGATCCCCGGTCTCCAGGATCGCGCCCTGGGCCAAAGGCAGGCGCCAAACCACTGCGCCACCCAGGGATCCCCGATATGCAACATTTTTTAACAGCTTTAGTGAGATAGAATTCACATGCCATATAATTCATTCATTTACAGTGTACAATTCAGTGGCTTTCAATATATTCAGAGTTGTGTGACCATCACCGCAATCAATTTTAGAATAGTCTCATTTCCCCAAAAAGAATCCCACACTCCTTAGCTTTCAAGTTCTCATCTTTCTGTCCCTTCGCCCAAACCTACACACACAGCCCCACGCAACCACTAATCCACTTTCTGTTTCTGTGGATTTGCCTATCCTGGACTATTCAGATCAACAGGATCAAACGCTACGCGGTCCTTTGTGACTGGCTTCTTTCTCTTAGCACGACGTTTCCAAGGTCCATTTGTGCTGCATCATGGGTCAGTATTCACTCCTTTTTACACCATTCTTCAACCCTTCTTGGGAGCAGCTGTCGGGGCACAAGAATGACTGCCTTGGCTCTCCACATCCCTAGGACACTTACTCAGATGATGGGGGGGGGAGTGGGGGGAAGGGCTCTAGAATCTGGAAAATTCTCCTGATCGGGGAAACATCACAGGACTGAGGACGGAACCCAGGCTTTGTCACTTGCAAGGGACATATCTACATCTGTCTCTGCCACTTACCTGGTCAAAGTTCTTCATCTGTAAAAGGAGATGATGCTAATGTTCTAAGGATTAGAATAATCCTTACATAAATGGCCTAAGGAGAACCTGCCACATAATTGGTCTTCGAGGTGGTAATCAGTAGGCTTAAAGGAAAGACGTCACTTGGTTTCATCAATTTCC